TGTCTTTTGATCTCGTCTATCTCCATCTTCGTTTTCGTCAAATCTGATCTCAATTCGTCCGCTTCTTTGTTCTTCGAAAACACCGATTCTTCGAGGTGAACAACCTTTTTCATCGATTCGTCGTACAAATTCGACAGACTTTTTTCCGATTCCGATAGCCTCTTTTCCATTTCGGTGTTCTCTTTCACCAGTCTATCGCGCGCGTCGATGACCGTTTTGAGTTCTTTACTTAGTTCCGAAATCATTCTATCGTTGGATTCACCCGACTTCTCCCTCTTTTCGTCGTTCAGAAGTCGTTCGAGTTGTCGGATCTCCTGTCGATGTCTTTCCAGCTCCCGCTTCAACGAATCCGTTTCTTTCGAATCCGTTACATTCTTGTCAACGTTCGAAAGTTGGGACTCAAGATTTACGCGTTCTCTCTCGATCGTCTTCAGCAGGTCGCGAAGCTTGTCGAGATCTGCCGAACGTCGTTGGCCGTCGCTTGCCACGACCTCTTCTCGGCTTGCCACCTTTCAAGGTCATCCTTTGACCGACGTTCGGAATCGGTCGCGAGCTTCAGTTTCTCCGAGAGGGACGCGCACTCGTCAATAGCCTCTTCCGCTTCGGCCGATCGCGAAATCTTATCGGATTCCAGTTTAGCTATCCGATCGAGATGCTTCTCTTCCCGTTCCTTTAGGGCCGCATGCAACTTACCTGTGTCTCTTCTCAGTTTCGATTCCTTTTCTTTAAGGAAAGATATCTGCATTCGAAGATTTTCAATCTCGTCCGAGTGGCTCGCCTTCGCCGTTGCAAGTTTCGTTTCAGCGTCCGATTTCTCCCTATCGTCTCGAAGCGATCCGAGTTCCTTGGCGTGGGATTCGTGAGATTCGTCGCGTGCCTTCTTCAATTCTTCGACCCATTGCTTCCACTGCGGGATCTCTTTCTCGTTATTTTCGTGGTTCGCCTTCAGCCTGATCTCGGCTTCCTTGGCGGCCGCCAGATCGCGGGAAGTCCGTCACCAGTTCGTCTTTCGTCTTTTCTAGAAGGATGGAAAGTTCGGCACTCCGGTCGTCCGCGCATTCTTCGTGCGCTCTCGAGAGGTCCGTTTGCAATGCGGCTATCTCGTCTTTGAGAGCGGTCGCCTCGCGTCCTTTGTTAGCGAGCTGCACCCCCAATCCTTTTATTTTCCGTCCGTCACATTCCTTCCCTTCTTTGAGGACGGCGATCTCGTCTTCGAGACCGGCCGCCTCTTGAATCTTCTTCGCGATCGTAGCGTCCAACTCTTTCATCCTCTTCACGTTTCTTTCAATCTCTTCTTTGTAGGCCGTCATTTGATCGTCAATATCACTTCCGTTCTGTTTCATTTTCTCTTCCAAAGTGTCGATTTCGTTCCGCAAGTCGATAGCCGTGCGATCTTTATCGGAAAGCTGCTTTTCCATCCTCCTACTCTCCTTCTCGTTCTCATCCTTCAGGGCGGTTAATTTTTCGACATCCTTGATCAGCGAAGACTCCTTTCGGGTGGCCTCGGCCAGCTTTTCCTTAAGATCGGCAATCTCCGTCCGGAGAATATTGGTCCTGTCGGAGTGATCGGCCTTGGCCGTTTC